CTAAGTCAGACCCAGGCTGGGAGCCTTAGTTGTGAGGGTGTTGGACGGGGAGGCTGGCTGGTCCCCAGGCTAGGGAGTGCAGAGGGGAGCTCAGGAGGTGATGTAGGAAGCCACAAGGCCTGGCCTCCGTGTCCTGGGACCTGGTAGGTGCTCAGTAAATATCAACTGCATGGTTCATCTTCTGAACAAATTTTGGTTTTGGTGGTGGCGGCGGTGCTGGGGATTGAACCCAGAGCCTTTTCCATGCTTACCCGGTGCTGAATGCTGAGCTCCACCCCAACCCCTGAACAATGTGCATTCCTAGGACAGTGGGGTCCATGAGACATGGATGCTGGTTTGCTGCCTGCCTCACTTTCTCCTGCTTGACTTTGGGGGAAAACACGAATCCCCTCTTCTCTCATACGGATAAGGTCTTGGGGACCAAGGGAATATTTATTTCATTCACAGGGCCCTCTAGAATGTTCCACATTGCTGATTTAGAGTGGAATTCAATTCTGTTAAAGATTAATTCAGATCTCAAGATACTTGTGGTCCTGGGCTCTGTGGCTGCTGCTTTGAACTCTGGGTACAAGGTTCTGTCTGCTTAGCCGGGCATGGGCTGTGCTAGCAGTTGTTATCCTGGTAGCAAGAATTTATTGAGCACTTACTGTGTGTCAGGTACAGAGCCAAGCATTCTCAGGACATTGGGATACAAATCTATTATTGTACCCATTTTTCAGAGGGAAGAACTGAGGTCTGGGGAAGTGAAGTCAATTACGTAGGGTCTCTCAGCTAGGAAGAAGCAGAGCTGGGATGTGGATCCCATTTGTCTGGTGCCCATAACCTCAAAGTGACCTGTCTTCATTTCTTGGGACCCTCTAGGGGTGCTCAGAGTCAGAGGAGAAATGCTCTGTAGCACGGAGATGAGGACCTGAGTCTCTCAGGAGGCTGAGGCTGGAGGATCTCAAGTGCTGGGAGTGCAGCTCACTTGTAGAGCACCTGCCTGACATATACAAGCCTGTGGATTCCATCCCAGCAGTGCAAAACAAAACAAATGCCCTAAATTGTTCGGACAGGCCCTGGGTTTAAGCCGATCGATGTTAAGGAACATTTCCTTATCCAGAAAGCTTGGGGGAGAGTCACCTGATCTGTCCAAGCCTCAGTTTCCTCATCTGTCCAAGAGCCTTTCAGTCCCCAGTTTGCAAGGATGGTCCAAGGCACACAGTTGAGTTCTGAAGCTCAGGCCCTGCTCACCCTGTGCAGCTCCCTACGCCCCCAGCCCATTCCAGGGTGAGTTTCCTGGCATCCTCCAAGAGCCCCTTCATGCCAGGTAATGGCGGGGCAAAGCTAGACTTGCATTGGGACCAAGGGCGATGTCTTTCCAGGCATGAAGTATTTATTGGTGTTGACCGCGTGCCAGGAACTGTGAACATTTCAGACTTTGCTAATGTAACACTTCACAGTTAGGGCTGGAACCCAGCCGCCTGGGTTCACATCCTGGCTCCCAGTGAGTTCTCTTCCTCTTTTGGCCTCAGTTTCTTCATCTGTATGATGGGGAAGTGAGGGCACCTGCCTCTCTGGGTGGCTGTGGGCAGTGGCCAGCCCAACACAAACACTTCGTATTATAACCGACATCTGTCACCTCATTACTTCGGCGGTACCCGAGCCTTACTCCACTGGATGTGTGGCAGAAGGCAGCAATGCCAAGACCCACTTGACAGCTGAGGAAACTGAGTCTCAGGGAGGGAAATAATTTATCAGCTGGCTCATGGCAGGGCTGGACCTAGAAGCCATATTCAAGGGGCCCCAGAATAGCCCAGAATGGCTAGAGAGCCGTTTTGGACTCATGGCTCTTGGAGTCTGACTCACCTTGGTTCACCTCCCAGCTCTACCACTCACTGCTGTGTGAGACCAGGAAATGGCTTAACCTCTCTGTTTCTGAGGTTGCCACCCAGGATGTGCTGTAGGTCATTTTTGCTAGCTTGGGCGCATCGGGCTTATTTTGGCTGCCACTCCTGCCCTGACCTGGACCCCCGCTATGTTGGGAGACCTTGGATCCCCCCAGCTGGCTAGGCAGGCCCTGGCTTTTACCGTGACTCCAACTTCCTTCCTCCCTCCGAGCCCTTTCCTGACCACCAGCTTCCCCTTTCTGGCCTGGCCTTCCACTGCTGGCTGTGTGACTCCGAGGAGGTGACCCCCCCTCTGAGCATGTCCCTCATCGGTAAGGGAGGGTCACGGGAGGCCACGTCGGGCATACAGGAAGCCTTGCAGTCTGCTCCAGATGAACTCGGTATTGGAAAGGGCCCAGCAGGAGGCAGGGACATGGTGGCAGCCAGGCGGGCCATTAACCCACAGAATACTCTTATTTTTGTTTGGGTAGTGAGTAACGGCCCTCTCCGGCTTACCGCCTCCCCTCCCTGCCTGCACAAAGGGCCCCTGTCTCCCAGGGCGCCTGCTTTTCCCTGCGGGTGAAGTGGGCTGGGTTCCACCCCACTGACCAGGAAAGCTGACCACCTTCGCGAGCGAGCCCTGCACGCAGTAGGCGCTGGAGGATGGGAGGGAGGAAGTCAGCGCGTAGCTTTCTGGGTAGGGACTCGTCCGCCGGAGGGAGGGGCCTGGCTGAGCTTGGCTTTGCTTCCTCGCCTGTTCATTCATTCCTTCCTTCAGCAAATATGTCTCGGGCAGCTACGAAGTACCAGGTCCCATTCGAGGCCTTAGGGACTCGGCAGTGACGAGAACAGACAGAGCCCTGCGCCCTCCTGGGGCTGTC